TTTATTCATATATTATATTTTAAAATCAAAGAACTACTAATCAGGATATAATTAAAGAAATAAGAGTTCATGTTGCTTTTAAAATATTTCACCAATTTCTTTAAATTAAAGACTATCTACAGATTTGCATCGAAGCGTTTCTTATGATAGTGATTTTAATCACTGTCAGATATCATCTATATTGGACCCAACTATGCCACCAACCCACTGTGCTGGGTTTTTTTATAATTTAACACTATTTACAAGTTTTTATCAAGGCGTGTTTAAGTATAGTAATTTTAATCACTGTCAGATTTCATTTATATTTGTTCCAACTATGACGCATCCCCTCTATTCTGTGACTCTACTGTGATACCATTGTTTTGTTTATTATAATACCAAACAAGAATAACAGGCTTATTCACAACAGTTTCTTGAGGTCCGATCGAATAATTACATAATATATAATAGTTAGAGAATAGGGTGGTCCTTAAAATACAAATTTTCAAAATTCGATTTACGCGCACCAAAAAATTGTTCTAATACATGTAAAAATAAACTGTGCAAAATTTGGTCCCGATAGGTTGACGTTAACACGTGCCGCAAGAGGGTTGAAAATTCGATCAAAAGGGTAGTTTTTCAGTTATTGTGCTTTATCTCAAAATATATGATTTTTACGCAAAAGTTTATAAGAAAGAAATTATACATATAATTATTTTACATAAAAAAGGTTATTAGCAAAAAACTCATAAGTCAAATATTTACCTCCTAAAAGTCAAAAGTTCCATAAATATTATGTTTACCAGTAAAATTCATATATTTCGGCAATTTAAGTATATACGATGAACCGTTAAAGTTATAAAAAAAATGTTCATGTAAAAGTTATTTGAAATTTAATTTTCTATTAGTTTTGTAGAAAAATAAAATTGTTTTACGTGTTTCTGGCGAGGTAATAAAGAAAACTTATAAGTAACAATCATTTTTTAGCTTCGATGCGAAGCGGAGAAGGTATTAATTTTACTATGATGTGTTTTTTTT